AAACAAATTTGAACACCATCTAACCAGAGTAGAAGAAAAATAGGAGTAACTATCACCCAACTGCCCCAGGTCTCAGTGCTCCTGTGGAGCGGCAGGGAGCTGCTAAGAAGGAAAAAAGATGTAAGCTGGCACACCTATATAGCAGGTAGATATAAACGTTAATGAAAGACAACAAATCAGGCAGGCACAGTGGTCCATGCCTGTAATCCCAGCCCTCTGGGAGGCCAAGGTGGGCGGATCACTTGAGGCCAGGAGTTTGAGACCAGCCTGGCCAATATGATGAAACCCAATCTCTACTAAAAATACAAAAATTAGCCAGGTGTGGTGGTGCATGCCTGTACTGAGCCAAGATCATGTCACTGAACTCCAGCCTGGGTGACAGAGCAAGACTCTCTCAGAAAACAAACAAACAAACAAAAACTACAAATCAGGGTGCTTCTGCTAATAGGAACCCCCTGGGCCAGTGGGGCTGGAGGGCAGGGCCTGAGCAATCAGGAACCATGAGCGTCAGCTCTTCCTCTTCTCAGAAGCCCTGGGCAGTCCTGAGTGTGGGCAGCCCATTGCCTGCTGGAGGGTGTGTGGGGAGCACAGGCCACATAGGATGGGGAGAAAGAGAGAGAGGGTAGCTGTACAAAAGCGGCGTTGAGCTAATCTGCTCACTGTAGGAGCTGAAAGCCTGCTGTCTGAGTCCCTGGTCCCTGACTGACTGCTGGTGGAGGAATTGTTAAAAGGCAAACTGGTCTGAGAAAGTGTCCTAGATCCAAAAAGCACTGAGATTCAACGGGCTAGGTCCTCACAAACTCTTTTAGCAAATGTGTCTCTTAACTGTGAGATACTTCTCCACCATTCTCTCTCCCTCTCTCTCCAGTTATCTCCTTCTCTCCACTCTCTCTCCCTTCATCTATCTATCTCTGCCCTTTGCCAATTTAGTGGTTTCCAGAGGCAAAGAGTTCTTTTAAAAAGTGAAGGGATAAAGAAGAAAAAAGGTGGAAGAGGTGGAAGGTCAGGCAGCATGGGGACCATTTTCAGAATTTTTTGACTGGGGGCCCCAAATTTTAATTACTGTTTAAAATGAAATGTCCTTAAGACCCTCACATAATCCACAATAACAACAACAACAATCTCAAATTAAGTAGTCATTTTCCTTAAAATGGGAGCTTCTTAGACGACTTTTACTTTGCTTTTTGTTTTTTTGTTTGCTTTTTTTTTGAGATGAGTCTCATTTTATTGCTCAGAATGGAGTGCAGTGGCATGATCTTGGCTCACTGCAACTTCTGCCTGCTGGATTCAAGTGATTCTCCTGCCTCAGCCTCCAGAGTGGCTGGGATGATGGGCATGCACCACCACACCTAGCTACTTTTTATATTTTTAGTAGAGACGGGGTTTCACCATGTTGGCCAGGCTGGTCTCGAACTTGTGACCTCAGGTGATCTGCCCACTTCAGCCTCCCAAAGTGCTGGGATTACAGCATGAGCCACCACGCCTAGCCGTCTATTTTTACTTTGAACATAGCACCCAACCCTTCAGAGGTATGGAAATTTAAGTTCAATGACCCTAAACAGATAAATGCCTATCTTGTCTTAGCCCAGTAGCTAATCCTACAGTCCAAGTACTGTACCAGTTTGACAAGGTCCAGATTATCTCTAGAAAATGAGATTTTTTTTTTTAAGGGAAGGGTAGACCCAAACTGAGTCCCCAAAAAACTAAAGTAATATTAAAAGCAATTTATAGGAGTCAAACTACAGAATCATAGAATAAAGAGCCACTCTACAAAAAGGTAGAGCCACTGAGCTGCCGAAGTGGGTCCTCAGGCTGTAGCTGGCTCAAAACCCAAGTGATTCCCAAGATTGTAGACACTAACAAGCCATGTGTCAACAATAGCTGGCAAATTATTTCTTGCAATATTGGTTCATGCTTGCTATCTTGGGATCTTATGTTTGTCATCTGCAATATATGAACAAGTATAATCTTTCTCACAGAGGCAATCTGATAAACACTTTAAAAATGTAAGATACATTTTGAGGCAATTGGGGTCATTTGAACATGGACTGTACATTAAATGATATTACTGAGTAATGTTAATTTTCTGAGCTATGATGATGGTATTGTGGCTATGTAGGAGATCATCCTTGTTCATATGAGATGCACACTTAAATTTTTGTGGATGAAGTATCACAATGTCTGCAACTTACTTTCAAATAGTTCATTCAAAACAAACATTCATACAAGCACATGCGCGTGCGCACACACACACACACACACAGAGTAACAGAAATTGAGAAGCGCTTGACTAACATACCACTTTCATAAAAGTACCCTTATTGTTGAGTGTCAGAGTACTTATTATAAACATGGATGTTAACTGAATATTTATATCCTAAATGCTGGGCATTCCCGCCTTCTTCCCGCACCTGGAAGCTAGCAACCAGACTTTAACATCCAGGAAACAGCGTGGAAGATACTTCTTTACAGAGAATATGACTAGTCCGTAAGAAAAGTCCTAAAGATACTGCCACTGGGGTGTCATCAACAACACAGCCCAGCCAGATCCCCCTAACTATAGGTGTGGGTAGATACCACCTATAGGTTGACCAACCCAATCCACACGCCACTACTCTTTTTTTCTTTTTTTTGAGACGGAGTCTCACTCTGTCACCCAGGCTGGAGTGCAGTGGTGCGAACTCAGCTCACTGCAAGCTCCGCCCACGGGTTCACGCCATTCTCCTGCCTCAGCCTTCGGAGTAGCTGGGACTACAGGCGCCCGCCAACATGCCTGGCTAATTTTTTGTATTTTTAGTAGAGACTGGGTTTCACTGTGTTAGCCAGGATGGTCTCGATCTCCTGATCTTGTGATCCGCCCTCCTCGGCCTCCCAAAGTGCTGGGATTACAGGCGTGAGCCACTGTGCCCAGCCGCCACTACTCTTGAGAGCAGCCAAACAAACAGCATGAGGCATCAGAGGAAGCCTCTAGTATAAAAAGCAGAGACAAAAATGCAACAGAGACTATAAAGGGAGAAAACTTAGTTAAAAAATCAAAACTCACCACTAATATACTCAGACAACGTGCTGCAACCATGAAATAAGAACAGAATACAAAGAGATAACGTAGAGGAGAAAGAAACTTTTGAAAATTAAAAATATGATAGCGGAAATTTTAAAAAACTCAATAAAGGGATCAGAACACAGTCTCTTCCACAAAAAGATGTGAAACAGAAAAGAGAGAAAATAAGAAAACTGAAGTGTCAGTCCAGAAAGTCCTACATCTTTTTTTCTTTTTCAGACAGTTTCACTCTTGTCGCCTAGGCTGGATTGCAACGGCGCAATCTCAGTTCACTGCAACCTCCATCTCCTGAGTTCAAGCAATTCTCTTGTCTCAGCCTCCCAAGTGGCTGGGATTACAGGCACGCACCACCATGCCCAGCTAATTTTGTATTTTTAGTAAAGACAGGGTTTCGGCATGTTGGTCAGGATGGTCTTGAACTCCTGATCCCAGGTGATCGGCCTGCCTAGGCCCACCAAAGCGCTGAGATTATAGGCATGAGCCACCACGCCTGGCCCAGGAAGTCCTACATCTGAATAATAAATTCCAGAAAAAGCAAACAGAAAAAAAGTCAGTAAGACACTATGATGATATTAAATATTCAATTAATATCCATGTTTACTGAAAGGCATGAGATTCCACATTGAAAGGGCCCTTCACGTGCCCAGCATGATTGATAAAAATAGACTCACACAAAGGACCATTGTCATTAAATTTCAGAACACTAGAAACAAAGAGAAACATCCGACGAACTTCCAGAGAGGAAAAAACAGGAATCAAAGTTTCAAATAATTTACTTCCCATGTACCCTTTCTCAAGAAACTATGGGAGGGAATGCTCTACCAAATCCATAGAAAATCAAGAAAGAGGACTTGAGACACAGGAACCACGAAAAAGCCAGCACAAGAAGGAGAAGCCATCTCCCCAGGAGGATGGTGAGGGGCATCCCAGGAGAGCTGTGCTCAGGGAAAGTGGTTGGGCAGGACGTGTGAAGAGTTCTCCAAGGAGGTAAATCCATAGAATGCCTCATGTGCCTGAACATAAAAGGAGATTAAGACCACTGGGGATGAGTCTGGGGTTGAAATTTGAAATACTAATAATACAAAACTTAAAAAGTAAGGCAATTATTAATGCCAGGGAAAACAAAAAGTGGTGCAGGAAAGGAGAATTGATCATTAATTCAAGGCTCAACTATGAACAGGTTTATGTAATCATAGTCAGAGAAAACAGACCTAACCAAAGTTTTATATCTATATGGGAGTAATAATAGGAATAGAAAAGGTGAACGCATTATGATAAGAGGCAAAAAGACAGAAACAAAATCTTCATCTTCCTTAGAAGTCATTAGATAATTCCTCAAGTTCATAAGTCAGAAAGCAGCAAGACAGTGTGGCATTGGGAAGTCTGGATGTAAATGCTAAAAGGATGCGTCAAAAGAGCTTAAAGTGAAAGCCACTGAGAGGGGAACAATGAAGAATAAGGGGACAGGAGATCACTGGATTTTTGTTACTTTTTTTGTAATAAATCTTTGACTACATATATTTATATGTAAATGTGTATATATAAAAAGACTACATATAAATATATGATTTTTATACATGTATAAGATATATAACTTTAATATAAATTATACATATAATTTTTGTATATACAACTTAAGAAAATATGTATGTATAACTAAGAAAGCAAAAATATTGTGAAATATTGCTTACCAAGTTATTATATATTTTAAAAATTGTTCTTTATTATCAAACTATAGGTAAATTATAGAAGTATTTCATTAGATATTACCCATCACATTTGAACAATATAAAATAATCTGCTTTCATATTAAATTATTAGTCTATTTAGGTGTACATGATAATTATCATAGCATATATAAGTACTGATTCCAAGTATTTTTGGCCAATTTCATTGCACAACATAATATAAAGTACTGGTGGTTATATAAAGTACTCACCAGCTCTAGTGGACTAAGACGTGCGCCAGAGATAGGCCTGGAATCAGATGACTCAAAACTGGATGCATGGAGGCTAGCATAAAAGATGGTGCAGAGTGTTAGTTTGTGAAGAATCATTTCTTTATTTATAGTATATATTAGTTAACTCTAGCTAAAAAGCAAGTAAAAGGATGCGATGCATAAGCCTTAAGGAAAAACATTTTTTAATGTTATTGTACTTAAAACAGTTTATTAAGAAGTCTTTTGATTACATCTAGGAAGTTTGAAATATACTGAATAATGAAAAGAATAAGTGTATAGAGGAATTTTTTAAAAAGCTTTGTTCATATCACTTCAGAAAGCTGGTATGGGACAACCGCTAGTAACCATTTCATTCCAAAGTAACTTCCTGAACCAGTGTTTGGAATCACTTCTAGGAATCTTGAACAAAATTCAAACTTAAAAAGACAACTACCTTGAAAATCAGTCAATGTAATCTATCACACCACAAGCTAAAGAAGATACAGAAAATACAAGCTAAAGAAGATACATATTAGCAGACATAGAAAAGGCATCTGGCAAAATCCAACACTCATAATAAAAATTCTTAGCAAACTAGGAATAGAAGAAAACTTCTAAGAATATCTACAAGAAACCTACAGCTAACATCATATTTACAGTAAGAAAGAGTTTTCCCACTAAGATGACAAAGAAAGCAAGGATGTCCCCTCTTACTACTGCTTTTCAGTGTCATACAGAACATCCCAGCTAATGCAATAAGATAAGAAAAAGAAATTAAAAGCATACAGATTGGGAAGGAAGAAATAAAACTCTTTGTTTGCAGATAACAGGATTATCTATGTAGAAAATCCTAAAGAACTGACAAAACCTCCTGGAACTAATAAGTGATTATAGTACAGTTGCAAGATACAAGGTTGGAAACTGAAATGAAAACATATTATCATTTACATTAGCACTCCAAAAATTAAATACTTATAACTCTAACAAGATATGGATAAAATCTAGATGAGGAAAGCTACAAAACTCAGTGAAAGAAATCAAAAAACTAAGAAAATGGAGAGAGCTTCCATTTCCATGGCTAGGAAGACTCAATGTTGTCAATATGTCAGTTCTTCCCAACTTGATCTATAGATTCAATGCAATCTCAATCAAAATCCTGGCAAGTCATTTTGTAGATATCGACAAACTGATTCTAAAGTTTCTATGGAGAGACAAAAGACCCAGAATAGCCAACACAATGTTGAACAAGAAGAACAAATTTAAAGGACTGACACTCCCTGACTTTAAGACATATTATAAAGCTACAATAATAAAGACAGTATAGTACTGGTGAAAGAATAAACAAATAGATCAATGGAACAGAATAGAGGGCCCAGAAGTAGACTGACATAAATACAGTCAACTGATCTTTGACAAAGGAGCAAAGGCAATACCATGGAGAAAACATAGCTTTTTCAAAAAATGGTGCTGGGCTATTTCACGGAGGTGGAGGCTCGATGCATTCAAGATCCACCTTCACTCATAACCCATTGCCATGGCCAAAGAAGACACTGCTGCTGGAGGTGCAGTGGATGTTAATACTGCTTTAAAAGAGGTGCTGAAGACCAGTCTCATCCAGGACAGCCTAGCACATGGAATTTGCAAAGCTGTCAAAGCCTCAGACAAGAGCCAAGCCCATCTTTGTTGCTTCCATCTAACTGTGATGAGCCTGTCTATGTCAACTTGATGGAGGCCCTTTGAGCTGAACACCAAATCAACCTAACTAAGGTTGATGACAAGAAACTAGGGTAATAGGTAGGTTTCTCTAAAACTGATAGGGAGGGAAACCCCATAAAATGGTTGGTTGTAGTTGTATCGTAGGACTTTGGAAAAGAGTCTCAAGCCAAGGATGTTATCAAAGAGTACTTCAAATGCAAGAAATTGACAAGTAAAACCTTGGCTCATATTCCTAAAAAACAAACAAACAAAAACAAAAAAACAAAAAACAGTGCTAGGACAACTGGACATCAACCATCTACATGCAAAACAAAAACAAAACACAAACCTAACACCCTTCACAAAAATTAACTCAAAATGGGTCATAGACCTAAATGTAAAACACAAAACTGTAAAATCCCTAAAACATAACACAGGACAAAGTCTAGAAAACCTTGGATATTCCGGTGACTTTTAATATACAACACCAAAAGCAAGATCCATGAAAGAAATTGGTAAGCTTGACTTCATTAAAATTAAAATTTTCTGCTCTGCAAAAGACACCATCAAGAGAAGAAGAAGAAAAGCCGCAGAGCAGGAGAAAACATTTGCAAAAGACATGTAAGATAACGAATTGTTATCCAAAACACACAAATAATTCTTAAAATTCAACAAGAACACAAACAACCCATTTAAAAAATGGGCCACAGACCTTAACAGACACCTGACCAAAGAATACACACATATGTAAAATAAATATATAAAAAGATGCTCCACATCATATGTCCAGGGAAAGTAAATTAGAACAATGAGATACCACTACACACGCATTAGAATGGCCAAAATCTAGAACACTGACAATGCCAGTGCTGGCAAGGATGTGAGGAACAGGAACTCTCATTCATTGCTGGTGAGAATGCAAAATGATACAGCCCGTTTGGAAGACAGCTTGGCAGTTTCTTACAAAGCTAAACACAATCTTCCCATATGATCCAGCAATCATGCTCCTTGGAATTTACCCAAAGGAGTTGAAAACTTTGACAGGTGTGGTGGCTCATGCCTGTAATCCCAGCACTTTGGGAGGCCAAGGCGGGCGGATCACGAGGTCAGGAGATTGAGACCATCCAGGCTAACATGGTGAAACCCCGTCTCTACTAAAAATACAAAAAAAAAAATTAGCTTGGTATGGTGGCGAGCACCTATGGTCCCAGGTACTCAGGAGACTGAGGCAGGAGAACGGCGTGAACCCGGAATGCAGAGCGTGCAGTGAGCCGAGATCGCACCACTGCACTCCAGCCTGGGCAACAGAGCAAGACTCTGTCTCAAAAAAGAAAAAAAAAGAAAACTTATGTCCACACAGAAACTTATACATGGATGTTTATAGCAGCTTTATTTGTAATTGCCAAAACTTGGAAGCAAATGAGATGTCCTTCAGTAGATGAATGGATAAACTGTGGTATAACCAGACAATGGAATATCATTCAGCACTAAAAAGAAATGAGCTATTCAAGCCATGATAAATCATGGAGGAAACTTATTACTAAGTCAAAGAAGCCAATTTGAAAAGGTGACATACTATATATTCCAACTATATGACATTCTGGCAAAGGCAAAACTGTGGAGACAGTAAAAAGATCAGTGGTTGCTAGTGGGTGGGGGAAGGAAGTGAAAAATAAGCAGAGCAAAGAATTTGTAGGACAGTGAAACTACTCTGTATAATATTATAATAGTGGTTACATGTCATCAGAAATTTGTCCAAACACATAAAATGTACAACACCAAGAGTGAACCCTAATGTGAACTACAGCCTTTGAGTGATAATGGTGTGTCAAAGTATGTTCGTCGATTGTAACCAATGTACCACTCTGGTGGGGGATGGTGATAATGAGATGCTGTGGATGTGTTGTAGTAGGGGGTACATGGGGAATCTCTGTACCTTCCACTCAGTTTTGCTGTGAACTTAACACTGTTCTAAAAAATAAGTCTATTTTTAAAAATTATCCATAAGAATTAAGGGAAAGTATAACCTGGTGCTTAAATAGCTGAGTGAACAAGAATGCGAAATACCATATACCTGAAGGAGGAAGGAGGTCTATTTTCTGACGTTCTTGAGGATGCAGGTCCGAATAGTTTTCTTTGGGCTTCCTGTGGTGTAAATGGTCTTTGGGTTCTAACTGTTCTTAACGCATTTCGTGCTTCGCTTATGATTTCTGCACTGGTCTTCTGCTTGGACACTGAAGATCGATAAAATGGATCCAGTTTTCCTAACATTTTATCATCTGGAGACAGCATCCTTCCTTTGAAAGTAAAATATTCTTCAGATAGACACCATGCCCTGCAAATACATGGTACAAAACCCATTAATTATTTGTATCCAGGGCTTTATAAAAATGAATGCTTAAGCCTATCCATATATTAAACCATTCCTCTATATTAAGCTTTAAAAATCTGAATGAATTTTTAATTAAAAACCCACCAAGCAGTTAGAAGGTTAGGATCTGAGAACAACTCTCAAAAATGTAGAGAGGAAAATTTCCCCAAAAATACACAACTGAGGAAAAAGATGTGCAGGGAAGAAACCCAGGATGAAAGCTAAACCCAGAGAGAAAGACTAATCATGAAAGAAGACAGAATAGGAAGAGCGAATCATCTCATGGTCTTCAGCCTACAAAAAACACTGAGGGTCCCCACTGCCCTCCACACTATGTGATACTATAAGGTTAAATTTTAGACAGAAATGTTGTATTTCTAAAGGACACTTGATTTTGCAACAAACCTCAGAGAATGGTTCAGCCCCACATTTGTCCATGGTACAACTGAATGAATTGATCCAACTCACCTATAATTTGAGGTAGTGACCTAAGTAAATAAATACCAAATATCAATACCAACTGATCCTTTCCCAACTCCCCTTTCTGAAAGAGTTAAAGTCATTACAAGGGCCATGAGAATGCAGATCCTTCTCAAACGTTGGTGTGTTCCATGGAGACAAATCTAAACTTTAAAATAGGACAGATTTTTAAAACGTAATTCTAATGAGTACATGGCATTAGGTGTTTCTTAAAAAAAAAAAAAACCCAAACCCCATAAAATGCCATATCTCTAGAGAGACAGAGGTCTACATGGATTTTCCACCTATTTCAGCTGCCCAATTTTAGAATAACTTCTGCAAAACAGAAAACTGCTTTGTGACATATTCCCCAGGAAACTAAAAAGATTCCATTTCTATAAGTAGAATTAACAGGTGATTCCTTAGACAAAAAAGATTTACTATATTATGATTCTAAACATTGTTACATAACAATAGACAACAAGAACATTTGTTTAGCTCTACACAGGCCCCAACCAAAGAGTTTCTGATGAAAACTATAAACGATATGTCATACTTTTCATATGGAAATGCCAGGTGTTGAGTTAAAATAGTAAAAAAATTACTTGATAAGCAATGCTATTTTAGGAATTTTTGATACAGGATTTTGAATTTAAGCACAGTCCCTACAATTATGTTCATTAATATAACTACCAAAAACGATGAGGGGCCTAGTACATTTTATTTCTAATACTTTTGAAATGATTGGCTTTCACTTTAAAATATGCAATGATAATTATTTAAAATATATACACAATTTTTTATATCTACATATATGCATATTATTTTTGGATGCATAATACAAATTCAGTCCCATAACATCTAACTTAAGCGGCCATGACAGGTTTGTTGGTCTGTTTCTAAAAGACCTACTGCAGGAAGAAATTGTGCCACTAAGTGAGAAGAGGTTTCTGCACAACAAACAGGCTTCTTCAGAGCCTAAATCAGGTTTGCCACCCCTTTGGCCTCACATGGCATTAATTAGTCTACCAATGTCCAAAAGTCATCTGGCAAATCTAATAAAGATTAGAGAAAGTTCTGTGGGGAGTAATAACGGACTCTCACTCCTGACCTAAGATTCTCTCTGGCTACCTTTGAGTTTGTATTAAAAACTATACTCTTGCCGGGCGCGGTGGCTCAAGCCTGTAATCCCAGCACTTTGGGAGGCTGAGGCGGGTGGATCACAAGGTCAGGAGATCGAGACCATCCTGGCTAACACGGTGAAACCCCGTCTCTACTAAAAAATAAAAAAAAACTAGCCGGGCGAGGTGGTGGGCGCCTGTAGTCCCAGCTACTCGGGAGGCTGAGGCCGGAGAATGGCGTGAACCCGGGAGGCGGAGCTTGCAGTGAGCTGAGATCCGGCCACTGCACTCCAGCCTGGGTGACAGAGCGAGACTCCGTCTCAAAAAAAAAAAAAAAAACTATACTCTTTCAGAGAGTGATGAAGCAGGAATATTTACTCAGGTCAAATTCTTTCTGTGAATTACCTGGGGCATACAGGAATTTAGACTGACCAAATACTATACTGACAGAAACAATGTAGTTACAGGGCTAAAAATATTTTTGTCTATAATTTTTACCAAAAATTCTAACACAACTTTCTCTATCCTTCTTCTTCTCTTTTTCCACCAAATCTCACTTTAACAATTATATTGTGAGAAACTTGTACAATAATGTAAAATCTGCACAATATGTTATGATCATGTTAATATTCACTAAATCAATCATGGAAATATTTAATAATACATGTGAACTGACTTAGAAGAATTAGAAGTGGGGCTTTGGGCGGAGAACTTTTAAATTGATATTTGTTAAACTACAAATTATTATAGATGGTTTTTGCCAACTTGAAAAATTAATCACTCAGGACCTGAAAGCTTATCTACTTAAAGTATACCTGAACCATAACACAATAATCCTACAGAAATTCTAACTTTACAAAATTTTCCTGCCAAGTCGAGCAAATCCATTCAGCCAGTTTTAGTACTGATTAACTGTTTCCTAAAAGGAACACAAAACCATCTTCACTCTCAAGCAAGAACCACTAATGTGAGATAAACATTTACTAACACCAAGCACTGTGCTAAGTCCTCTTGACTGCATTATCTCAATTAACCCCACAACAATTTTGCAAGGTGGACAGAGTCTTTTTAAAAAAATAACTAGAGATGAGGTCTCACTATGTTGTCCAGGCTGGTCTCAAACTTCTGGGCTCAAGCTATTCTCCTTGGCTTCTCGAAGTGCTGGGATTACAGGTGTGAGCCACCATGTAATCTATGGTCTGGACAGGGTCTTAAGCAATAGAAAAAAAGCTATGATACATTGCCCACAGATAATATTCAAACTCCTACCCACTAGATGGGGTGGTAGGAGGTGGGGCACTTAGAGGCATTGGGGCTGCAACTATTAACCCACTCACATAGAGACCCCAATATTTTCCCAACAGGAACAGCCTTCTTGGTGTGTACCAGCTGAGTATTTACCCTGCTTATACTCAAATGATTTAAATACAAGGTAGAAACTGATGGCAGCAATAAAAAAAAAGAGAGAGACAAATTATTTATGTGATCACAAAGAGAAGAGATTTCTGATTGGGGGAAGACATCAGGTGGACTTCCGGGAAGAGGTGTTGCTTGAGCTAGGTTGTGAAAAAAGGGCTGAATTTGAGCAAGTGGCAGTGGCTGGCACTGGAGCCGGAGTAGGGAAGGAAGTTCCAACAAAGTCAGCAAGTGAGCCAATGCAAAGCATCAAGACATACAGGGTGTGTGTGGACAAGGGGAACTCTGAAAATGGTGATTGGGGCTGAACCCGCTAAATTAAATGGCGAGAATTTAAAAGTTGATGAGCAGATCAAATAACAACATTTTGAGGGATGATGTGATCTGGCAGAGATGGGCAGGAAGGAAAGGAGGGCAAAGACCAGAAGTAGTGAAATCGGACAGTTTTTATGTAATCACCCAGCTAACTCTCAAAGGTCATTTCCTCAAGGAAGCTTTCCTGAACATGCCTCTCCCACCCAGCTAGCCTGAGTTAAGGGTCCCTCCTCCAGACTCCACAAAGGCCCCCAGCGGGTCTCTGCCACTCCACCCTCCCACTGTGTTAGAATTGCCTGTGCACGTGGTATTGGCCCGAGACTCTCCGCCCCAACCCTCCACGTGAGGCACAGCTGAAGGTCAACACTTACATAATCACTAGACTCCATTTTTAAATATAGACTTGAGCTAAGACATTTTCAGATGAAGGCTGCATAGTTTCTCTAACTGGAGATATTTGTTACAGTGAATTGTGAAATCTGGACCTTATTTCCAATCTGTCTTGATGTTATGTGGTCAGAGGAGTTCAGATTTAGCCTCCTTTCCCTGACTTGCCTTATTTCAAGTTGCCTGGCACAGAGTAGGACTCAATGTTGTGATGAATGAGTGAAGTATGGAAAGCCTGAGATACAGGAGTCAAGGTGAAGCACAGGTTAGAGGAGAGAACAAGTGAGGTGCACTGAGAACAGAATTAAAAACTGAGAACAGAATTGACAGGATTTGGCATCCATGATTCCAGGAAGAGGCCAGAAACAACACCGGGTATGCAAACCTAGGGGAGCTAGAGGGCAAGGAGCCTTTTAAAAGAAACAGGAGAAGCAGACTTCAAGAGGAAAGAAGAAAGAGGTTGAGTTCTGTCTTGCATCACACTATCCTGAGTCTGTTGTATCCACAGGACCTCTAGAGGGTGAACACCACCAGCAGTAGGAAATTTGAAAGTGAAGAACTTTTTTTTCAACAAGATATTTCTTATTGGTCTGGGGGAAGGTTCAGAGTCATAATTTATAGAAGTTTATAACTAATTATAAAGACCTGTCTTTACTGTTGTTGCTAATAGCCACTGGAACCAGAGCCTTCTTGCTAAATGCAACACTGCGCTACCAGGATGTCTGCAACGGGGAAAAGCAGGCCAGTTTCATAGCCTTCCCTGCAAATCAAATACTCAGGACCCTTCTGTAACTCTGAATCATTTTTGTATTAATATGAGCATCCAAAGAGGCAGTGGTTAAGTGCTTAGATGCTGGAGTAAGGGTTTAAATGCTGACAATTCACAGCCATGTGACCTTGGGCAATGCCTCTAATATCTCTAAGCATCAGTTTCCTCATCTGTAAAAGGTGCATGGTAATAATTGCCTCATAGGATTGTTTGAAGAATTAAATGATATAATACATGTAAAGTGCATTAGCACGGTGTTTTAATATGGCCCTTAAAATGTTAACAATGTTAACAGATGTTAACAATTATTGCCCAAGTGCTACATGATAAAAGGATACAGCAAACTCATTTCCACGAACGAAAAACTGCATTTTAAAAAAGAAACTGCAAAAGAGAGAATGACGTTTGTTCAGTGTTTCTATACATAAAGTTTATTATTATTATTATGCTTTAAGTTCTACGGTACATGGGCACAACGTACAGGTTTGATACATAGGTATACATGTGCCATGTTGGTTTGCTGCACCCATCAACTCATTTACATTAGATATTTCTCCTTTTAAACTGCGGGTGGTGGTGCTTGCCTTTATGAAAACAGATAATTTTTATTAAGCATTTTATTGAATATCAGCGATGCCAAATTAACATCAACAACTAACCAGAATCCCATAGATTAAGAAACCAGGATAAAAATAATAAATGGTGCTTGCTTTTCAACCAAGTTAAAGTATAATAATTATAAATCAGGGTGGGACGTAAGATCTGTTGTGTTACTTGTGGGAATGGATCACAAAAGGCATTATGTATACACTCCATGATTTTAACGTATGTTAAATATTGTTACACATACATTTTTATTTATTGAGGCCCTGTTGCCTGAAAGTGCCCAGATATAAACTGTATGACTCTGGCCTGGTTACCGCCTGCCTAGACAAAGCCCCTTAGTCTACCACTCTCATTCAACAAATATTACTGGGCTTCTATTAACCACCACGCACTTGGCTAAGTGCGACAGTACATAAATAAAGACAACCGCCCCGGACCCCTGACAACATGCACAGGGACCCCTGACAACATGCAACATCGCCTCTCTACCCTATCCGAGGACACACAGGCAGACGACGGCAGGAGGGGTCCCCGGTGAGCCGCAGGGGAGACCTCACCTCCCGCGCAGACAGCGGGTCCCCTACCCACGGCAGTGCCCGCTCTTCCACGGTCCCGGCCAGGGCAGAGCGCAGCAGCATCCTCACCCCGCCCGGCCACCCTCCCACTTCGCCCTGCCGCCAGCGTCTCCATGGTAACCGTACACAAACTACCTCCCGCCGCCCGGCCGCCAGATTGCGGGGCCAGGCCGCTGCAGGGCGGGCGGAGCCGGCCGGGGAATGAGCTTGGCGAGGGCGCAGGGAAGAAGGCTTCCGGCCTGACCCAAAGCACCTGTAATGAGCGCTTGAGATAGCAGCGGCTGCGAGGTTCAGCTCATCCTCCGGCTCTCCCCAGGCAGTGGCCAAGGAAGCGGCGCTGGAGCTAGCGGGGTAGCCCCAGGTCGCCGCTCGGCCACTGGGCCTGCGCGGGTCCCGCCAACGCATGCGTAGAAGCTCCGAGGCGTGGCGACGGCCGGAGCGGGTGGGAGGAGCCTGGAGAGGGCTGGAGGCCGGGAGGTCAGAGCAGAGCCGGCATCATGTGCAGGTGTCCGCTTTTAAATTAGCAATTTGCCGAGCCACATCTGTTGCTCCCCTAGCGGATCCCAGCGCATCTGTTAAATAACAACAGGCAGGCCGGAAGCTTAATGCTTGCGGGTAAGAAGGATTTACTGGCTCAGGTTAGGGGTCTGTATAACCTCTGAGTTATACAGAGGTTGTATAACTGAGCCTCTGTTTCCTCTGATGTCAAGTGGCAGGAAATATTAATAATAGTACCTATGGAGGTCTTGGGCTGTTATGAAGGTTGCATGAGAAAATAGATGTAAAGAGCTATGCACGTGGCAATCAACGAATATTAAACTGTTGGCTGTTATTAAGCCCCTGCATTTGTAGAGCACTTCAGAGTTCGCAGAGTATGCACGTAATCGTACCTTCTGAATCTGAGGAGGCAGCCTGGCGTCCCCATCCACAGGAGAGAAACTGGGGGCCTGAGGTGTAGTGATCAGGAGAAGGAGATTCTAGTCTAGGTCCCCCGTGGCCAATCGTTTTTTGTTCGTGATCACAGTTGAACGGTAAAAAGCACTCCATTTATGTGTTTCTAGTTTAAATTCCCTTCTCTCCTATTAGACCATTTAGCAACACTTTACGGTGTTAAATACAAGTGAGATCATAAGCACTCTCCATTCAGGTTTGCACCACGTTTTATAAATATGGGGATTTTCCAGCTGAAGTGCTATTTGTCATCAACATTGGAAAAATGCCACTTCCTTTGGTGCTAAGCATCTTGTAAAGAATAACTAAATTGAAAATATTTTTGAGCACATACCATGTGTAAGGCATCGTTCCAGGTGGGAAATGATGCTAACCTGAACTAAAGGAATGTAAATATTCTTCAAAATACTCAGGAGGATTTCAAACATAACAGAAAATAAGTACCTATTCATTGATTGGATAATTTTAGGACCCGAAACAAAATATTTTGTGTTCTTCAGGATTAAAGTATTTTCCAGTGACTCAACATGACATATCAACAATTCCCATTTACTGGTCAGTGGACTCCATTGTGAAATGGACTATTGCCCATTTTAAATAAAACTATGTGTTTTGAATTCACAACTTGTGAGACGTCATACAATGCCACTTTATTTTGGTCTCTCGCTATCATTTTAAAATTTATTCAGTGTTAGTTATCTTCTCCTGTCCCTGGATGGGAAGAAATTTGGGGGTAAAGCCCTGGATTTTTCTGCTCATTCTTAGATAACTGACAGTCCTGTCATAACTAAATCTCAACCACAGCTTCATTTCAAAACTATAATGTTGGGTGCAAGATTTAAACAAATGCATCAAATTTCACAGAAAGTAAGTCTTCCTCCCCCCATTCCAGCCCCCAGTTTAAGCTCTCTAGCTGGCCTTCCCTGAAGGGATGCACTAGGCTTAGGCTTGCCCCCCACCCCCACCCGCCCCCCTATTCACTAGAGGTTGTTTAAGACCCAGCTTGGATCAAACTGGCAGTGAGGAGAAGGAGGTGAAGGAAGGAGATGGAGCATTTCTTCCTGTAGTTGAGCAGCTTCAAGCTTGCCGTGCTGGCCTGTGGTTAAAGCAGCTCATGTAGGTCTTTCCTGATCCTTTGGAGTCTCCCACTGATGGGGACCTCCCTCCTGGGGGCTCCTGAAAATCCTAAAAACACAGGGTTTATTCCAGCTTTCAGTGCCCCTTTAGAGAGGTCCCAAGGGAAAACCCACACATCTGTTACCCTAGTGATTCTGAGAGCTCAGGCCTGTCTGCGTGCAGCCCCTTCCAGGCTGCCATAGGCGGGAGCTTTAGCTTACCCAAGAGTGAGTCAGGCTCCAGTTCTCCAGGCCACGTAACTACAGTCTCTGGCAGTCCCAGGCCCCTGGGGAAACCCCCCTCGCTGGCTTGAGATGAAGGGCATAGCACCCCACACTCCTTTCTCCAAGGAAGTTTCCCCACACATCTTCCCTTTCCACTCTCTGACCCCTTATTTTTAGCTGCAGCCTGGGTGAGGTAACCCCTTAGGTTTCTTTGTCACCTGCCCTACGGAGACTCTGCCTCACCTCACTTGGAACTGATGATTACATAATTACCATCTGAGTGGAAACATCAGCCTAAAAACCTCTGGTGCAGCCAATTACTAGCTGTGGTCTTATACCTTAGGATCTTGGTCTAAAATAGACCGTAAGCAAGCTACTGGAACCTGATGCTACCCAACTCAGCTGGCCAGGAAATATCTGCTGGGCAAATTAGAACCATTGAAAAGAATGACATGGGTAGAATTAGAGGAAGCAGTTATTTGAAGCAACGAAGCTCCCCAACTTACCTCACTGCAGGACACTATATGAGAAAATACTTCGGCTGTCACAGCAGTGGCGTATTATACGGACCTGGCTGTTTCTCCACTGTTACCTGATGGCTATTATACAGAATTTTACATCGGTTTTGTAAGTGGCATTGCTTTAGAAACAAAACTGTTGACATGTTTCATATACTTTAGAGAGATGAAAGAGGAAGACAAAGTATTATAAGTATCTGACATTTATAAAGCACTCTATAGTTTCCAAATTGCTTTTATTTGGGACACTTCATTTCTTTTGTCTAATTTGGAGTTTATAAGAAGCCTGGAAAGTAGGTATCTCAATTTGAGATGGGAGGAAACTGAGGTTCAGGGAGGTGAACTCGTCGGCCCACAGGCACACAGCTAGTAAAAGGACCTGAGATCTGGGGTTCTTCATGCCCAAGTTCAGTACACCATGCTGCTATTATACATGCATTTTGTCCCCAGCATGGAAAGGTACTTTGGAGGTTACTGAAACTGTCAAGCTATGCTCTTTATTTCCTCCTCTCACTTATCCCAGAGTATTTGCTGCGTGGGGCTATAGGGATCAAGAGGAACTTAAGAATCTTTACATTCACTTGAAAATGCCTTCTGAATTTCTGGATTTTGAATTAAAGCAAGAATTATATAGGCAGGAGATTGGGTAATGATACGGTTTTATGCAGTCTCAGATGCAAAAATTGCAACAGAATGATGAACTCATAGATGCTTTTCATCCAGACTCCACTAGTAGATTTTACAGTTTATATCATAGTTTCTATCACATATACCTCTTATTTGATATCTATAGCTCATCCTAATTTATCTGTTAGATATATTTTTGAAAAGATACATGTTAAATAAATACTTCTTTAATGTTCACAATTCCCCCCACTGCCCTCTCCCCCCACCCCCCTCCCCCGATTTTTATGACTACAACTGAGCTGTGACTCACAGGGGGAAAAAAATACTTCTGGCATGGAATGAAAATTGCCAATTTAGAATTCTAATATACACTTCAAGACACTTTCTGCTTTTGTCAGTATAGAATCTTGGTGCTTTAATTATATGTATCACACAATATAGTGTGAGGAGTTCATCAAATTGACAACCTAGGCAATCTTTGTATACAAATTTAAAGGCACAAATACATTAAAATGCAACTTGCTGGAAATTTATAATTCAATGAAAATTAACTAACTTCATGGAACTGGATAGACATGAGACTGTGGAATTGTCCTAAAACTTATCAGCTAAAATGTCTATGTAAATCCTGTCTTTATTGGGGCTCAGCTGTGACCTGTGCACCTAAGTATTACTTTACCTTTAAGTACACTATCCCGTATCACCCCTGCCACCCCAGGCCACGTGCTCCACCAAGCTGCCAAGCTGTTGACAGGAATGCTAATTAATAAGGGTCCATTTAATTACCAGTAGATTACAGAGTCTCTAAGGACCCTGCACTTCACTGGAAGGGAGGAGGTTCTCGTTTTCAGGGAGTGTGTCAGTGTCAGTAGGATTGTAACTATGAATTACTTCATCCTGAACAACTCTTGGATGTTAAAACAGACCAACTAAGACAATCAGAAACCCAATATTCTTTGTACAACTCACTTATGAGACATTACTTAGTGAGCATGCCTGTATCTTTTGGAAGTTTTTGCCTGCAAATAACAGAATATTCCACCAAAAGTAGCTTACACGCCAAGGACATTTATTGTTTTGTTTAACAGTCACTGGAACTGGGCTGCTTCAGGATTGGCCCCACAGCTCAGGGACCAAGGAGGATCAGTCAAGGCTCCCCACATGGTCACAAGACGGTGGTGGCCACACTGAGCTGGGAAAGGGGAAGGGCCCTCTCTATGTATATCTCTACACTGAGAAGGAAAACATTTCCCAGAAGCCTCTTGGTCACCTTGTCCTTACATCTCATTGGCCAGGCTGTGTCACATGGCCACACACCAGGCCCTGGCAGAGATGGATGGGGCTACCATTACTGTGGCTGATTTCAATCCATCAAGGTTCATCCTTTGGGTTTGGCGGGGAGGAGCCCACTTTGCACACTTTGCTGCCACAACCTGAAGCAAACTGGAGCTCTGTTCAGCAGGAAGGAGGGGCAGTGGCTGTTGGATAGATCTGAAAGACCGCCACAGTGGCCTGGTGACAGGTCTCCCCAGTCCAAATGGGCAACTGTCACAATCTCTCGATTCTCTAATAGAAAGTTGTCCTGAGAATCAAGAGATTGTGGCAGTTGCTTGTCCCACCTGGAGACAGCTGGAGGTGTAACACAAGGCAGGGTGCTCTATCTTGGTGCTAACTCTCAGGTGAGGCCTGGTCCCTGGTCTCACTGCGGCTCCGTCCTGGCTGCACAGTGGAGTCACCTGGAGAGCTTCAACACCATCTCCGCCCAGTACCACTCAGATGAACTGATTCAGTGCCTGGGGTAGGTGGGAGTATGGGAGTGGAGCCAGCTGTTTAGAGCTGCGGAGGTGACTGTGGTGTGCACAGCCAGCCTGGAGAACCTCAGCCCTGTGAAGCCAGAGCTCCCCTGCCTGAGAACCTCAGCCACAACCCAGCAGGAGGCAGAG